CCCATCAACCACACACACACACACACCACACACACACACACACACACACACACACACACACACACACACACACACACCACAACGCAGTGTGTGGACATTGTAAGCTGAGATCAAGGTGTGGGTGGAGAGGAATGAGGGAGAGGAAAAGGTAGGTGTGTGTGCGTGCGTGCGTGTGTGTGTGTGGTGAGTGTGTGTGTGCGTGTGTGAGTGAGTGTGTGTGTGTGTGTGAGTGTGTGTGCATGTGTGTGTGTGCATGTCTGTGTGTATATATGTGTGTGTGTGTGTGTGTGTGATAAGCTTACATCACCGTATCTTGATATAGAAAAAACAAGTTATTTATCTCCAAATTCTGAATATCAAACGTATCTAAGCACAGTATATCGACTTTCTCACTCGACAAATCCTTCTCACTTTCAACACTAAGTCTTGCATCACAATTCTGATTTTTACCTCCCCCACCCCCACCCACCACACGCGCCCCATTCTTGATCCACCAGACAAAATATAAAATAAATAAGTTAGATTAATAAAGATAGGAACACAATACTCCATAATATCTCAAGCTTTTATAATGGTAGTGACCGGGTTGTGTACAAAAGATCATTCAACATGCGAGCGTGTTTGGAAATCTCTGGCTCACGGGGAGGGTTCTAAAGGGCTAGTCATGGCTCCTTTGCTGTTTTGTTCAGGTGTTTGTTTAATGGTTGTTTCAAGAGGTGGTGTGTTGGGGAGATGAAAATGGGTGGTGATTGTGGGGTCAGAGTGGATGAGTGTGGGTGGGAATGGGTGACTGGGGATGTGGGTGAGAATGGGTGACTGTGGGGGGTGTGATGTTTTCTCAGCTGAGTCATGAAGACAATTTGTAAAATGGGTAAGTAATGTTGGTGAAATGTGCAGGGGAGAGAGAGAGAGGTGTGATAGATGGATTTACATAATTTCATATTTGCCTGAATGGTTACAGAAGTGAATGTGGCACGAATTTGTATGTGTGTGTGTGTGTTAATTCTTCAACATTAATCTCGTTGAACATTCATGGAAAGGAAAGAAACCAACCCCATATTCACACCAACACGAGGACACACAGAAGATTGTACCCCTCTCCCCCTGACTGACCTTACCGACTGCAACAAGTATAAACACCAACACATTCTCCTCAATAACTACGATTCTACGCCATCAGGAAGGAACCAACCTAACCTCTAACCCCTTACTGCAGTCCAGCCATCCATAGGTCAAGTCATTCAGGTAGGGGAGAAGGATGATGATGACCTACTGCGTTATGCCTCACTTGAGCACGTAAAAAAAACAACAACCCTCATATACTAAAAACACCATCAGTTAGGTCAGAAAAAAAGCATACTTCGGGGTCACTAAACACACACACACTCAACGTCTGTGTGGTCAAGGTGGCAGCCAGGAAGACAAGGTGATACAAAACAAACCCAAGTGAAACTAAGCCCAGTGGTGTTCCAAGGTGAGCTCTGTAGGTGAAACTGTGAAGTCAAGGTGAAGCCAGGTGCTATAAGGTGCCTTCCTCGGTGTGGCGGCCAGGTGAGGGATGGGAGGGGGGAGGATGGCAGGGGTGAGGTGTGGGTGAGGGATGGCACGGGGTGGTGAGTGGGGAAGGTCGGGGGTGAGGTGTGGATGAGGGGATGGGAGGGTGGTGGGTGGGGGAGGTGGGGAGGGGGGTGAGGGGGGGGGATGGGAGGGGTGAGGGAAGGTCGGGTGAGGTGTGGATGAGGGATGAGGTGGTAAGGGGATGGGATGAGGGATGGGAGGGGTGGGAGGGAGGGGGTGGGTAGATGGGGTAGTGGGGGGTGAGGGATGGTAGGGGGGGTGTGGTGAGGGATGTGGGTGAGAGGGGATGGGGTGGGGGGGGAGGTGGGGGTGAGAGGTAGAGTGAGGGAAGGTAGGGGGTGAGGTGTGGGTGAGGGGGTGAGGTAGAGTGAGGGAAGGTAGGGGGTGAGGTAGAGAGAAGGTCGGGGTGGAGGAGGGAGGGGGGTGAGGGAAGGTGGGGTGAGGTAGGATGAAGGCAGGTAGTGGCCAGGTAGTGACCAGCGTAGGTGAACTTCAGCAGTGGCAAACGACCATCACTACCTATGGCTAACCACACACTGCCCACCACCACCCTCATGATTCCTTACCTCACCTTCCTCCTCACCTCCACCACCCTCACCACCTCTACCTTCCTCCCTCACCTCCACCACCCTCACCACCTCTACCTTCCTCCCCACCTCCCCCTTACCTACTCTCGAGACAGTTTCAGGGATCAAACTATCATCAGTTGTAATGCATCATGAGTGGTCCCCAGACAACACCTCCACCTAAAGCAGTAATGCACAATGAGTGGCCCCATGACATAATAACAATACCCCTTTGTAATAATGCACAGTGAGTGGCCCAACCATAACAACGCCCTCGGTTATAATACAGAGTGAGTGGCCGCAGTAGGTGGTCATAGGTACACACACACACACACACACACACACACACACACACACACACACACACACACACACGATAAGAGCCTTGACTTCTCACTTCCTCTCTATCTTCCAAGACTTTCTCGTGTTTACTGTTTATGGAATAGACTTCGTGCGGATGAACAGACCGACGGGCGGGCATGGGTGGGTGGGTGGGTGGGTAGGGGAGGGGAGGGAGGAAATGTGAGCATAGCCTTCAACACTTCCTGGAGTATGGATTCACCTCACACACACACACACTTTGTTCCTCCCACCCACTCACATACACTTATCCCTGTCTCCCACACACCCTCATTCATCCCTCCCACATACCCACACTCAACCCTTCCACACACGCAATTATCCCTCCCTCGCGACGCGTCATTCACCCGGGGACGTCTTCTCCCCAGTACTGTCGAGGGCCGTCCCCAAGGTAGCGTGAGTGAGGTAGCCGCCGGCCGCTCAGTCAACGCCACCCACTGGGTCTGTCTGGGAGGGGAGGCGGGCTAACGTTTGTCTGGCGTTGGAGGGAGAGCCGGGCGCTATTGTTTTGCTCGTGCTGGCGAAGAGTATCTCACCAACGTCAACTCTACCGCCATCACTATCATTACCACCCTCACCACTATCACTACCACCATCACAACTATCACCACCACCTAAATGACAGTACCCAGCCCAGGTGTGACAGTGACTTGCGTTAATAAGGCTTCAGGTGAGAACACTAGTACAACTCCCAGCCAGTGATCAGTGATGGCCGGAGATCACACACACACACACCAGATGGCAGCTCAATATAACGTCCTCTTAATGTACTGTGCAGTGTATCTTGCATTTTGTTTTGTTTGCATGACTACGCAAAATATCCTCCATTCAATATACTGTATATCTTATCTATCTCTCTACCTTATCTACCTTTGTAAGGTGAAGCGCAGAAGCGTTTACAGCGCCCAACAGGGAAGCATGCTAAGTTCATGCTTGCCTTTACGCCTCATGAGTTATGGGCGTAGAAGCCTGAAGAGTCAATGGTTTACGTCATCAAGTTATTGGAAGCTCCAACAACTTGTCCCTGAATACGAATTCGCAACTTTCGACTTACACCAGGTACCTACTGTACTGCTAGGTGAACAGGGACTAATGGGGGCTAGGAAGTGTGTCCAGACAACTTCCACCGGCCCGGGAATCGAACCCGTGACATCTCGCTTGCGAAGGCGAGAGCTGTACCACTCTACCACCAGCACCCTTTGTATGTATGTATGTATCAACCATATCTATCCACTTTATGTATGTATGTATCTATATATCAACCATATGTATGTGTGTATGTATCAATAACACAAACAACGATAAGCAATACACTAGCCAAGTTGCTGAACAAACCCAACACACTAACACCCCGCCACCCGGACCCACCACCCCTGCCAGGTCTCATGTTGACACTCTACTTGAACCCACCAGCTGGTGTGGCAGAGTGAGTGAGTTAAAATACACCCTATGGACGAGTGAGTGAGTGAGTGAGATATAATACACCCTATGGACGGGTGAGTTAAAATACACCCTAGGGACGAGTGAGTGAGTTGTGGTAATACTCCACCACAATAAACTTGGTTCTCTCTCTCTCTCTCTCTCTCTCTCTCTCTCTCTCTCTCTCTCTCTCTCTCTCTCTCTAAACCATATCCAGAGTTGACTATAGAGCGAATGAGGGAAGGGTCACAGTTGGCAGAGAGAAAGAGATAAGAAAGAGAGAGAGAGAGAGAGAGAGAGAGAGAATAATGTACAGTTCACACACATCCCAACAGTGTCCCAATCACCAAGGTTTCGATATTCTTGAAGGTTTTGAGTCACTTCCACGACACTCACAGCGCGTAAACACCGTGAAATTCTGCGTTATAAAATACATACAAATTCCTGTTACAAAATACTTAAAAATTCTCACGTTATAAAATACAAAATTCCTGTTATAAAATACATAGTACATAAAATCCTACATAATAAAAATACATCTACAAAATCCTATTACAAAATGTATTATGTAGTTAAAAAATCGAAAGATGTAAACTACAAAATCTCGTAAGTTATCAGTAAAAAAAAAACTCGCAAGTCATCTTAAAATCGTAAAAAAAAATACCATAAATATCAATACATATAATCGTGTGGCCTTGTACAGATCAGGACCAAAAACAACAACAAAAATACATGTATACCTCGACAACTGAATCAACTAGTACGGGTTCGACTCCCAGTTCGGATCTACTCGTCACTGGGTTCGAATCCAGGCCGGGTTATACTGCAGTCTTCCTAGGGATTACTATATTATGAGGATAACCCGTTTTCTATGATGATATAACCCGTTTTCTATGATGATATAACCCGTTTTCTATGATGATATAACCCGTTTTCTATGATGATATAACCCGTTTTCTATGATGATATAACCCGTTTTCTATGATGATATAACCCGTTTTCTATGATGATATAACCCGTTTTCTATGCAAGAGAGTTGAGAAAGTACATAACTAACTGACTGACTGATTCACTGACCTATCTTGCTGAGGTCCGGCAGAGGGAAGTGCTTGATGTTCTGGTTGAGCTGCTCCTGGTAGTAGTCCACGATCCCCTGCTGCACCTTCCTCAAGTTGGACACCTGTAGGGACAATAACAACATAGTAAATAAAGGGGGTAACTCGTTCCTTCATTACCCTACCATAATTAATATAAACAAACACATTTTTTCCACGATTTTTTTTACCCAATTTGTAATGTAAAGGTGAAATGGTGATGTTTATTAAATTATAGACAAAAAATTATTATTATTATTATTAGTAGTAGTAATAGTAGTAGTAGTAATTATCATTATTAATAGTAGTACCTTATTACATCACCATCATCATCATCATCATCTTCATCATCATCACTATCTCTCTACAGGAAGGTCACGTCTATAACCTGACTGGTGACCTCGGTGTTCTCGCTCGACCTATGACCTTTCCCAAGCAGGGTCGTCACCCCCAAAACCAGAGGACACACCTCGCTAGGCCAGGCCATGGTCAAGCCGGGGTGCGGGGAGGGCATGACTGAAGCAAGCAAGCACACGCACGCACGCATGCACGCAAAGTATTACAACTTATTGGAGACACGCACGGCATGACTTAACATCTTGAGTACAATGACTTAACCCCCTGAGTACGAAGACTTAACCACCGGAGTACAATGACTTAACAACCTGAGAACGATGACTTGACCCCTTGAAATGAAGTGTGGTGGGGAGGAGGGGGAGGTGTTGTGAGGCAGGGTAACGGGGAGGAGCGGGAGAGAAGAGATGGTAAGGAAGATGAAGAAGAGGGGGAGGTGCTAGTGAGGCAGGGTAACGGGGAGGTGCGGGAGAGCACTCAGGGCAGGTCAGTGAAGGACACCCACCCCGGCCACTCCCTTGAACACTCTCTCTCTCTCTCTTCTCCCCTCTCTTTCACCTCCACTCTTCCCCTCTCTCTCACCTCCTCTCCACTTTCTCTCTCATCTCCTCTCACTTCTACCCCCTCTTTCTTATCCCCCCCTCCCCTGTCTCCTTTCCTTGTTCCCCTTTGTCTTCTCTCCTTCTCCCCCTTCCCCACCTCCCCTCTCCTTGCCTGTTTCCCTTCTGTTGTTGCTGCTGCTTGTTCCGTCACCCCTGGCACAGTGTGCAGCCAGTGGTGCTCCTCGTTTCTACAGCCATTCAGTGTGCCACCTTCCTATTGGCCCGGAGGTTGTACCAAAATCACTCATAGAGGCTGGTTTAATAGCCGGTGAGTGACCTTGGCTTAATGACCACTCAGAGCTTGGTTTAACAGCCAATATGAACCACTTAAAGGTTGGTTTGACACCCAATATGAGCCACTTAAAGGTTGGTTTGACAGCCAATCAGCGCGAACTTCAGAGATTGGTTTAATGGCCACTCAGAGAGCACTCCTACCTTGGCTTATCAGCCACTCAGAGAGGACATTAATTAAAGAAAAACACGGACACCGAGTCTCCCATTTTTTATGACAATATTAACGAGTTTGTTGTTGAACCTCAAAGCTTCGGAAGTTGACTTGTCCTCATAACAGGTGACTTATGAACGCACCTACCTGACGGACGAGGTCTCTCTCTCAGCCACGTCAGAGCAGACACAGGGAGGAGAGGGGGGGGGGGGTGGCCGGGAGCGACACCGTAAAACAACCGTACACCGAGGATAACTTCCCTTCTAGCCGTGCCGCCTCCTCCTCCCGCACTACCAGGTAAGCCACCCATACGCACACACAAAGATGTCTTGAATAAAGGCGAAAGCTAAGGTGCTCCATTGTTTCCCTTTTTCCTGTGTGACTTAATCAAGATATATATGTATGTGTAAGTACATTATGTATGTATGTATGTATGTATGTATGTATGTATGTATGTATGTATGTATGTATGTTCAGTATGTATGTATGTATGTATGTATGTATGTATGTATGTATGTATGTATGTATGTATGTATGTAAGTCTACTAAAAAAGTCTTCGTTATCAGGCAGTTATTAGTGTGGTGTACAGTATGAAGTGAGTCAGGTAGGTACAATCTCACATCTCACATGACGAACTGCTGAGAATTCTGAGACCCCGGGCCCCTGTGGTCTTCACTATCTCTGGGAAAACACGATGTTGAGGAAGTAGTTTTAACCCTGGGCGGGAGGTGGAGGAGCGGGAGGAGATGATGGTGGTGGTACAGGAGGTGGGGCTGGAGGTGGTGGGTCTGGAGGAGGAGGTGGTGAGGCGGGAGGAGGTGGTGGGGCGGGAGGAGGTGGTTGGGCGGGAAGGAGGAGGTGGTTGGGCAGGAGGAGGAGGGAGGTGGTAGGGCAGGAGGAGGAGGTGGTAGGGCAGGAGGGAGGAGGTGGTGGGGTGTGAGGAGGAGGTGGGGCAGGAGGGAGGTGGTGAGGCCAGGAGGAGGTGGTGGAGCAGGAGGAGGTGGTGGTGGGCAGGAGGAGGAGGTGGAGTGGGAGGATGAGGTGGTGGAGCAGGGAGGATGAGGTGGTGGAGCAGGAGGATGAGGTGTGGGCAGGAGGATGAGGTGGCAGGCGGGAGGATGAATGGCGGGCAGGGAGGTCGGGTGTACTCCTCGGGAATTACCTGAGGGTCTGCCTGACGAGAGGAGGCTGGCAGCGAGCCAGCACCTGCAACACACCCCCCACCCTGCCTCCTTGTATACCAGGGTGTTGGTAGTGGTGGTGGTGGTGGTGATGAGGCCAGGTGTTGGTAATGGTGGTGGTGGTAGTGGTATTGGTGGTGGTGGTAGTGGTATTGGTAGTGGTGGTGGTATTGGTAGTGGTGGTGGTATTGGTAGTGATGGTGAGAGTATCAATAGTGATGGTAGTAGTGGTTGTAGTATTCATAGTAGTAGTAGTGGCAGTGCTATGAGCAGTGGTGGCCGTGGTAGTGTAGTGGTGGTGGTAGGATTAGCAATAGTGGTGGGAGTAGTGTGGAGAAGTAGTGAGGTGGAGGGTGGTTCCTACAGATAGTTAATATTCCTACTATTACTACTGCTACACACTACTACAGGTACTAGTGTAGAAGGTAGTAATGTGAGGGCGCTAATCATGCCCCTGCTACAGACAGTGGTCATCCGTCAGGCGGGCGTGGTGGTTACGGCGGCGCCCACCATGTTATCACAGGTAAACTACAAGGTGGGCGAGCGGCGCACCTGCTGAAAAAAAAACCCCAGCCATAAAGGATAGGAGGAACAACCCCACCCCCCCACCACATCCTAATCTATCCTTAGCCATCCTCCCTCCCTAGCCATCCTTCCTCCCTCGCTTCTAGTTGACCCACCATACCAGTCCTCACTACCTGTACACACACACACACACACACACCCCACACACACTCCATGTCACTGACTTTCAACTAAAACCACCATTATTATTTTCACTTAAAAAAAAAACCTCACAAAACGCTCAATGACATTTCTTCCCATCATCATCATCATCATCATCAAATTATAAAAAAAACCCACGTATATAAAACTTGCCTCACCTACCAACGCGTTAATTAGCTCACTTAACATCAAAGAGATTTATATAACATGTGTACACCATTTTAATTTTACTTTAAGGATTCGCCCAGTCCCAATTTTGCAGTTTATTACACTAGATAAAACTTGGTTAAAAAGGGGGAGGGGGTAAACGAGTTAAACCAGGCCGTAAATTAAACCAACAACCCCCCAACACAGGTGAGTCATGGTATTTAAAACTTGACTTAAACCTTTCAAATTGGTTACATTCGGTGGGGTAAAGACACACTTGAGTTTGTTGTATGAAGTTAAACCATTAAACCACTAAACCTTTTATACACGAGCGACAAAAACCCTCTTGGCTAAGGCCTTGATAATCTGCGGAACTTAGTGGAGAGAGAGAGAGAGAGAGAGAGAGAGAGAGAGAGAGAGAGAGAGAGCGTATACTCGAGGCAAGAGTCTTATACACTACACCACTGTATACACATTCTCTCACACCATAACGCATCCCTCACCCCCCCACCTCAAACATTCCTCCTCACTCACGTCGACAATGTTACCCCTATTCACACACACACACACACACACGGTAGTTTACAGAGATGAGCCCAGTTAGTGTTGACATACACTCATACATGCCTGACGGTCGCTCTCTCATGCATATATACACGATCATACACACGTATATACCGACATGTATATATCATACCGTGTACAGTATATAGTTCCCTCGTCATTATACCAAACATCTGTACATTCATACACGTTCATTTTCTCTCTCGACTGTGACTGTGGCCACCAACACCCTCTGTGGCCACTAACACCCTCTCTGTGGCCCCCAACACCCTCTCTGTGGCCACTAACACCCTCTCTGTGGCCCCCAACACCCTCTCCATATTTAACACACCCTCTCTGTATTTGCCCCACCCTCTCTGTGGCCACCTAACACACCTCTCTCTGTGGCCCCAACACCCTCTCTGTGGCCCCCAACACCCTCTCTGTGGCCCCCAACACCCTCTCTGTGGCCCCCAACACCCTCTCTGTGGCCCCAACACCCTTCTATCAGTAGCCACATCACCTCCTCCCCCACACCATACCGAGCTGCCCAACATCGATACACAACCCCCTGAGGTATCTTATTAAGTCAGGTGATCCACAGGTACATCAACACCCTAAATATGGCGACAGGTAACGGGAGGCAGGTCATATTTCACCGCTCAAGACACGCAGGAAGTATTAAAATAAGTACAATATGTTATTTTATACGTGAGGTAAAAATTTGCATATTGAGGTGGTCGCTAGGAGCCAAACTCACTTGATTCAATTTACCTCTGGGTTGGGTTAGGTTAGGTTAGACTAGGTTAGGTTAGACTAGGTTAGGTTAGACTAGGTTAGGTAAGGCTACGTTTGATCAGGTGGTTCAGAAAGCCCTTAAAACAACACTCTCATTCACCTGACAACTTATCAATCACCAACTCGATCTGACGTTTACATCAACACCTATTTTGTATTCACGTCATCACCTCAAGAGTCGCTGTAACTCACCCCCACCGCTGCCGACAGTCTAGTGAACCACGACCCTTGTTGACCTCTATACCCTCTTCATGCCCTTACTCGGGTATTCCACCTCAACAAATGCCCA